TTTGTTTGTTACACTGACAAATTTATATGATTTATCGCATACTCTATAATTTACACAAATAATAAAAATTAATTTTACATTTCAAATAAATTGAAATAAATAAAATTTACATTAGTTTTAATATTTTTATGCAAAATTGATCAAAGCATATGATATTAAAATATGTTTGATCAAAAATTAATTTGATTACATTTATGCACAATACATATCATTTTGTATGTTTATAAATATTATAATACACTTCTAAAAATATATTTAAGTATTTAATCCCTAGGTCAAAATCGTGAAAAGCCCAATCTGCTGCTCAGATATAGGTTAAAAGGAGTAAACGCGTGGTTCCTTGAAAAACCCTAATCGAGACGACAAAATGTCTCTGTTTTTCAGCCGAATTTTGAAGCACTGGGTAAGATACTCTTCCTCCCAAACCACACACACAGTTTATTGATTCTTCGTTCTCCGACTTTGGTTTGTGTACTAATGATTCCATGGATATTGACAGGCACGCAGGGCCAATTCTTGTTTCTTCTCATCAGTGCCTCGGTCCCCGTATTTGAAAACTCCGGAGGGCACGATCGTGCAACCCAGGTACTTGGACCCGTCAAAGAAAGAGACAATAGTATGTGGTGGGAAGATTATGCATCCAAATGAGTCCCATTGGTTTTGTGTGGCAGCATCGCGAGGTTGGATGATGAGGACCGACCACAGCACGTTACATCTCGCGGATGCGTACATGCCATGGGTTTCATCTCCAAGAGTCGTATCATTGCCTGATCATATCCCACCTTCCTATGACACAAACGTGCTATTGTCTCTTTCTTCTTCTGATCCTGTCCAAGACGACGACTGTCTCGTGGCTACAAAGTTCGACGAGTTTGGGGTAAGTGTATGCAGGCCTCGGGACTCTCAGTGGACTCACATCGAGTCCACTGGCCCTAACCGTGTTATACCAGGCTCTTCGCTCACGTATTCCAAGAGACACGAAGCCTTCTATTTTGCCCCTTCAAATGCTTTCTACCTGGGTTCAGTAGACCTCAGCGACAGAAACAACTACAAACTCAAGTATCACCACCTACGCCTTCGAAAGATTCCGTCTAGGAAGATTAGTGTAAAACGGAGATCGGTTCATGATAGTTGCAGGATGACCCAACACTTGGTGGATTCACCTTCTGGTGAA